CAATAGAGTGGAGGTACAGGTAAACACAGAGGAGGGCCTGCTCAGCCCAGTGCTAAGGTGACATCTGAGCTGAGACTGGAGAGTAAGGGTCTGATGAGGAGAGGTGGGAAGGTTGTGTAGGACAATGGAATGGCACCCACAGAACTGTGCAAATGTGTTTACATTGGGGGAACCAGAGTTAGTTCAGATCACCAAACCCTAGGTACCTGAGAGCTCCCGTCATAAGCAGTGTCAGTGCACTAGGGGGTATGAGTGAGGGTGCATACCTGGAGTTTATCTAGGTATTATTGACCTAACATTGATATTATCTAGGTATTACTGACCTCAGGTCCAGAAAAGCTAAGTAATTTGTCCAAGTTCTTACTCAGCTAGTAAATGGTGGAGCTGGCATTGAAACTGCTTCTAATTCTTCTTTTTTAAAAACATCCATATATTTTTTTTTTATTTGACGCTAGGGATTGACCCTACTGGCACTCTACTACCAAGTTATGTCCCCAGATTTTCTTTTCCTTTTCTTGAGACAGTGTCTTCCTAAGGTGCTGAATTACCCAGGCTGGGCTTGAACTTGTGATCCTGCATCAACTTCCCAGAGTGCTGGAATTACAGGTGTGTGTCTGACTGTGAAGCTGTTTTTAATTTTTATTTACTCATATATTTTGGTACCAGGGATTGAACTCAAGACAGGCAGGCATGTGTGCCCTGGAACTAAATCCCTGGCCCAGAACCTACTTTTTAAATAGACAAGAGCTACTGAAATGTGGATGGTAGATGAGAGGGAGAAGTTCAGGAGTCTTCAGGGCTTGCAAGGGAGCTGCTCCCCGGTACCAGTGCATTCTGTGGCTCCTCCAGCACTGTCATCCCGTGTCATCTTGGAAAGGGGTTCCGAGGTCTGGAGGGATGTCCTGATGGTACCCTTGGAGGGTAAAAGTACCCTAATGGGAGGAGCAAGTCACCATTCCACTGGGGTGAATCTGCCTGCACACAGACTTCAGCTTCAACTTGAACTTTTGTTTTGTTTTCCTCTTTTTATTTTTAAGTAGTAGCATCTGTTTTATTTTTCACTAACCACTAAAAATAATAGCTTATAATTATTTGTGTGTATTGTGTGCCAGTACTGTTTGAGCACTTAGGTCATCTCTTTTTTCTTTTCTTTCTGTTTTTGTTTTTGAATTGGTGTCTCAGGCTGACCCAAGACACCCAAACTGGCCTTGAGCTTGCAATCCTCCTGTCTTAGCCTCCAGAGTAGCTGGGATCATAGTCACACATCACCACACCCAGTTAGGTCATCTCTTTAATACTTAGCACACTGTGTAGGTTGGTATTATTTGCTATTGCTAGAGGTAGGGAAGCTGAGGGTCAGAGTGGTTGGATAACTTGTTGAAAGTCAAGCAGCTAGGGAGGAGTAGAACTGGTTTGTGAGATTCCAGAGCCCACTTCTGTTCCTGGTTTCACCTACGCACCACCAAAACACCCGAAGAAAACAGGAACATAGAGACAGATGTTGGTGGTCAGTCCTGCCCAGGTCTGCAGGAGTTGTTTCCTGTAGCAAGTTCTACCTGCACAGTCAGTTTCTGTGGCTGTGTGTGTGTGCGCGCGCCTGCATGCATGCGTGTCTGTCCAGCCTGAATCCATTTCACTCCTCACGTTCTTCATGGTGTAACTAAAGCAAGTGGACCTGGTTCCCTTCCCTGCTAGCCACACTCACAAGCTTGAGGCTTAAGTTCTAGTTGTCACTGTGATCTGTGGTAGAAGAAGCCCATCTGTCAGGTGGGCTGGTTGGGTTTGGCATGCGTCCCCTGTGCATTTGGCTCTTGAGGTGTTGTAGCTAAGATCTTTGTTTTTAATCATAATATTCTACATCTTTTCTTTCCATGCTGGTCAGTGTGAACCCGCTGAGGGTGGTAGTAAATCTTTCTTTAATTTCCACTGTGATGGATTATTAGTTCATTTAAAATACTGTTTAATCTATACATGTGCCCAGAGGCTTTTAAATATACAGTACATTTGATAATTGTTGGAAACCAGCTAGGACTTCACAAATAGTCATCTGGACTCATGAAGCCATAGACTCTGTGGCTCCGTTAACAGCACCAAAGTCCAAACATTAAAAGGTAGTGAGGTCTGCAGCTCTAGATCCCAAAGTTCCCTTCTTTATAGGAAGTCAACCTATTTTATTTTCCTAAGAATCAGCTTTTAAAGTTTTCCCTCAAAAGGGAGATAGACAGCACTAGGTGATAACTTCTCTGGCTCTGGCTCACAACTTGTGGACCTCAACCAGCCTCCTTTCCCTTCCTGCCCCTTCCTTCATCCTTCCTGTTCATTTTCTAGCTTGCCCTGGGGCTGGTGTCCCAAGCTGCATTGAAGGAATGGGAGGGGAGAGGGCCAGAGTGAGTCCTTCGCAACCAAGGCTAACACCTGTGGTGTTGGATTTGTACGATTCTCTAGCACCAGACAGCTCAGGCCGTGCTCAGGCAGTGGACTTTTCTCTTGTCTTTTTATGCTCAGAGCCATGATGAGGAATGAATGAATGAATGAATGTGTGTGCATGGGTGTGTGTTTGTGACATATTGACATCTAATACAGACTGTAAATGCCTGTTCTGCAGAAGGTAACTCAGTAAGTTTGGGGATTTGGATTTGAAGCTGAGAATAACCAGAAACCTGCCTGTGAACCTTTTTTTTTTTTGGTTTCCTACAGAAGAGAAGTGAGAAAAGAAATAATTGTACTCCAGGGAAATGCATAATTTAGAAGCTGTCTGCATGCATAAGAAAACAGACTCTGTGGCTGCTCTGTAAATGGGGAGAGGCAGCCAGGGTCATTGTTTCCCTTTCTCCCCTGGGTGTTTGTGTAAAAAGATGGCCCAGTGCTTCCCTTGCTCCTGCGCTCCTATGGGGCAGCTAGGCCCTGGCCTTCAGAAGCATTTGGCCCTGAGGGAGCCTTCCGCTCTCTTTCCCTCCCCTTTCTGGACAGCCTTCTTTCTGCCAGGGGAACGGGGGTATGGAAAGGTTGAGGGTATTTCAGGAAACCTCAGTGGGGGTGCCTGACTCTGCCACCTGTAACCCTTCAGCATCCAGTGGCTTTGTTCACCATGGGCTTTGGCCCTTTCCCTTCAACCCCTGCCCCCTCATCCAAGGGATAGTCAGGATGTGACGAGGGGCCTCTGGTCCAAGGGTTCATGCATGTATTTTCCTCTCGTGCACTCTCAGTCATTTCTCCCTTCTGTGTCTTTCAAACATTTCTATACTGTTCAGTTTAACCCAATTTCACATCTCTAAAGATAGTAGAGGAAGACCAAGCAGGGATGACTTTATGCCCTGATCCTTATAGGTGTGTATCTTCAGAGCATCTCACATCTAATCTGTTACCTTAGATATGGAACCTGTGTGGTTCAGGGTTGCAGGAGGGACATAGTCTCATAATAGGTAAGGTCTAGCAACCACTGTGGTCTTTGAGCCCAGGACTTGGCAGTAGTGTTGCCATGAGAAGATAGACAGTATTGCCATATATCAAAGTCTCAGGAGTGGGGAAGGGGCACCAGGAGGTGAGCAGCTTCTCTTTGATACTTCTGTAGATGTGGGTTGGTGTGTGTGTGTGCTTGGGTTATTGGGTTTGTTTGTTTGTTTGTTTGAGACAGGGTCTCACTTTACAGTCTAGGCTGGCCTTAAACTTGTGGCAGTCTTCCTGCCTCAGCCTCTCATGTGCTGGGATTACATGTATGTGGCATCACACTTGGCCTGTTGAATTGATGGGGATTTAACTGAGCTCTTTAGACCTGAGGGTTCTTATTGGTTTGACTAAATTTATTTTTTCAGTACTGAAACTTGAACCCATGCATGTTAGGCAGGTATGCTACCACTGAGATACATTGCTGCCCTAAGCAGCTTCTCCTTGGAAGAGGTGGTTTCAGTGAGGTTTAGAGGAGAAGGAAGACTACGTAAATGCACAGGTGCATGGATCCCAGACACAATGCAGCAAGAAAGATCTGATTTTGTTTTTCTTCCTTCCCCATCTCTCTAAATAATTTTATCTTCAAAGCATGACTCAGGTGTTAATTAACACTCAGGGCTCTCCTGGGAGATTGGCAAGTGGGAACATTACCCCCATTAGTGAAGTCCTGGGAATAGATGGGTGCCAGAGCCCCAGAAGGGTGAGCCAGTGAGAAGCAGAGTATCTGCAGCCTCAGGGCCCTGCCTTTCTGCTCGCTTGGTCACCCTGAGAGCCTCCTCACTTTCTCAGTGTACGTGGGTTACCCTAGAATAAGAGCTGAGAAGATATTAGAGGTGTTTGGTATTGTGGGATAGGTCTGGGAAGTCTAAGGGTTAGGGAGAAATTCTGGGAAAATTCACTGACCTTGTGATTTTCAGTTATAGGAGGCTGAGTATACCATTGATTTCATTCGTTTACTAATCTTTCTTTGAAAACATGCCAGGCATCAGTTTTTGAACAAGGTGTTACAAATAAGGGGAGTCACTTCTCCCAAACCAGTTAGCTAGCTTTTCAGGGTCCTGCTGATTGAGAATTTGATCCTTTGGGTTCTGGGCTCAGCCTCTTAGGCAAGGCTGATACAGGCAGATAGATGGTAGTTTCTCCCAGCGTCTGAAAATTGATGGAAATACGTATGTGATTACTGAATGCTGAGCCCTCTTTCCACAGCTGGGTGTGGGGGTAGATGTCTTCAGGCCTCCCTCAGGGGCTGTTCATGGCTGTCTTCAGTCCTGGCCATTGCCTGGAGATGGTGATGATGATACTGGCTTGCTAGGTACCTGGGTAGCTGCTGAAAGTGCTGAGCTGATCCTGAATCTCCAGCTTTCGAAAAGCAGCAAGACTGGAGAGATTTCCATTCCATCCATTGGGCAGCTTGGGCACGGTGCAAAAAAACAGATGAAAAGGTGTTGCATTTTATCCTGCTGGTGTTGCACCTCTGGGTGACACTTGGATGCTGCTTGTGTTAGAAGAAGACTCCGATCACTAATGCTGTTTCCCTTCCCTTGGCACTGCAGGCTGCTGAGAACCAGTCCTAGACCTCTGCTTGAGGGTCCTTGCTCTGAAGACGTCACCAGTGTGTGGAGCCTGCCCCACACCACCCCCTGCCAAACCACGGCCTTTACCTGTGTCTTCCGGTGTTTCCCGTGCGACCCATCCTGTGGGAGGGCCTCGTGGGCGGCCCCAGAGTTCACCCCACGCTCAGCGGCGCCAATGGTGAAGATGACGAGATCCAAGACTTTTCAGGCGTATCTGCCCTCCTGCCACCGGACCTACAGCTGCATTCACTGCAGGGCCCACCTGGCCAATCATGATGAACTCATTTCTAAGGTACACGCTCCCTGCAGACCTTTCCTGCCTACCCCTGGGGAGGGCACTTGGGGCTGCTGAGGTTGCAGAGGTTACAAGCTCTCCTGAGACCAGGATGCTGTTCCTCGCTACAGGCACAGGAATGGCCTGCCTTGTTTAACTGAGAAACAACCATGAGCTGTAAGGGCAGGGTAGTGGTTTACTTTGTTGTGCTGGAAATGAGAGATCTTCCTTGTTGGAAGCTTTGGGGGCTGAGAGCTTGCAGACCAGAGAAAGAAAAGGGCTAAAGAATATTGGAACCTTATGCCCAGCTTGCTTGGTGTAGGTTGGCAGATAAATTCTGTGAAGAGGGTTTTTTGTTTGGACAATGAATTGGAAGAGCTGTGGGGTCTTGTAGGTTTGTTGTTCTTGCTTTGCGCCTGGGGATTGAATCAAGAGCCTTCTCCGTGCTAAGCAAGGGCTCTATCACTGAGCTACATGTCTAGTCCCATTTTGGAGGGTTTATTAGCTAAGACCAGAGATCTGCTGGCAAGCCCCAGGGAGAGTTGTGAGGCCAGCGCATTACCAAAGCGAATGGCCTTTGGGGAAGAACAGAAGTGGCCTTTTGAGGAACTGACCCACTGGCCTGTGGAGGCCTTTAGAGCTTTTCCATGAAGTAATGTGGAATGATATTTGGTCATAATCAGAAAATCAGCCCTGTTTCTTCCCTTTGGAGCCTAAGCAACTGCTTGTAAAATTGAGGCTGGGGGTTACTAGGAAATAAACAAATCCAACATTTCAGTTGTGAAATCCAGGAACTGGATACTTCAAGCTTCATTCTCTGGGGAGCTTCCTCACTCCTGGCCCTAGATTCTCAGGGGAGGAGAAACTGGTTTTACTAGATTGAATGACAAAGAGAAAAAGATCATGGGAGACTTTTCCCTTAAACAGCATCTTTCATTCCATTAAGAGAAAACAAACTTTTATGCAGACCCAGACTAAGACTAAGTTTTTTAAATTTTTAAAATTTTTTTGTAGTTCCTGACCTATTTATAAGAAGTGTTGGGGAAGGCGTTTTGCCTCTGGTTTGGTAGCCCTGGCCAGAGAGGGAAGAGGGCTCCAGTCACCAGGTATAGAACATTCCTATCCAGCTGGCCCATTGGACACAGGAAGTCTGTGGCAGTCAGGGCTCTTAAACAAGCCTGAGGACCGAATCCCTCATTCTAGACCTGTTCCAGAGTGCAAAGTTCCCTGCTATCTGGAGCCCTGAAATTCCTGGCTGGACTTTGACTCTACTCCACTTTCCCTTCTCTGTTATTCTCCTTTTGCTCTTCATGTTTCAGCCAGCCCAGCTTTTTTTATCAGCTAATCCATCTTTCTTAAATTCTTGTTGAATTTTGGGGGAACCTCTTGTCTGGAAATTTGGATACGGAAGGCTGTGTCAGAGAAAAGACTAGCCAGTTCTCTTAGCTTTGGAAGTAGGCCTGCAATCTTGGAGGGAAATTGTGAGTTTTTCCTTTTTTTTTTTTTTTTTTGGTTGGAAATCTCCACAGAAAGTGTTTGCCCATATCTAATGGGGGAAGCCAAGACATCTTAATTCTAGGAAGATGTGCTATATACATAAAAAAGTGAGGTGCCAGTAAAGTGGATTTCAGTACCTTCTGGACACTACGAACTGCCAGTTGACACAAAAATGCTGTCTCACTTAACTAAGAAATCTTTAAGGTAGGAGGTTAGTCATGTCTTAGACTGACAGAGAAGCTGAGATGCATAAAAAGTTGTCCAGAATCTCAAATTGGCAAAGAGCGGGTATTCAGAGGAGGATTTCTGGCAGAGGCAGTTATTTGAGCTGGTCCTTGTAAGGTGGGTAGAAGTAGAGCACATGGAGATGGTCATGGTTTTCGGAGTTTGCCAGATCTGTTGGGCTTGGCACGCGGGCCTTTGACAGTCTTGCGGATCCCAGCTTCTGAGCTAGGTCTCCTGCCACTTCCTCACTTTGCTTCAGCAACTTGGAATTAAGCACTATTCCCGGATAAGGGCATCTCAGCCTTCTGGGCTTCACCAAGTGTCGCTCCTTCACCCTTCTTCTCATGAGCCCCTTCGTACCCTCGGGTCACGTCTCCAGATCAGAACTTGACTGCAGGAGCTCAGTAAATGATCAAATAAAGGAACAGATGGAGCTGGAGCCTGGGAGAAGACACATTGTGAGTTGGGATTTAGCTCAGTGGCGCAACGTCTGCCTGCAAGCATAAGGTCCTGAGTTCCATTCCTGGTACCAAAATAAGAGAAAATTAGTGAACGAAAAAGATCTCATTGGCTTTGTGTTCCCCTTCCTGCCCCTGTTGGTGCAGAAAGGCTCATTCACAAGTCCAGGCCAAAATCAGCACAGGCTTTGGTTTCATTGGCTGCAGCCGGTGCACAGATGGGGTGCTTTAGAGCTTGATGATTTAAGGAGCTGGGTGAAATGCCCGGCTGTGGGGAAAGAGGGAGGGAACTGTGTTGAGTGTTGTACAAAGATTCCTTTATTTTGCTCCGTAGCCACCCCCAGCATAAATAATCTATAGATTCCTATGCAGGTCTGCTTAATGGAAAAGTTTGTCGTCACAGCGCTTTCCTTGGAAAATGGGCCTTTCTTCTCATTTTTTTGCTCTTTTCCGTTTAAGAAAGTTCAAGGAGAGAATGTCCCCCTGTTCTCCCCTCTTGACTTAATCTCCTTGGGTTTCAAAATCTGCCCACTGGGAACGGGAGCTGGGAAACAGATAGGAGCTGGCAGCAGTGCAATTAAACGACACTCTGTAACCTGTAACTGGGGCGTTTGGTCTGAAGGCTTGACATTTGTTGGGAGCGGGGAGACCTGCCCACCTTCATTGTGAAGAAGAGGACACAAGGTCCAGAAAACTCCTAGTGTGTGGCCAGCAGAGGCTGGGAGGAGTGGGGGCTGCAGGCCTCCCTGGCAGTGTGGCTGAGCCTGCTTGGAAACGTGCAGTGAAGTCTGAAACAATCGAGGCCTGTATTTGAGGGGGGTGGAAAGAATCCTGCACCAGACCTCCTCCCTTCCCAACTACTTTCCATCCCTAGAGGCCTCATTGCCTGCTCTCCAGGCATTCAGCTCTCCCACCTCTGAGCCCGTTTTTCTCTCCTCAAGTGGGCAAAATAGCATTTTCTGTGTTCAGTGGTGTCTTAGTTTATTTGGGCAGCTAGGGCAAATGGCCATAGCGTCGGTGGCTTGTGAGCACAGACGCTGGCTGATTTCTCGTAGTTCCGGAGGCTGGAAGAGGAAGATATTGGCAAGTTCAGTGTCTGGAGAGGGGTCACTTTCACAGATGGTTTCTTCTTTGCATGGCTTTGGGTGTATAAGAAACTGTGGACTTTCTCTCTGGCCTCTTTATAAGGACACCAACTATAGTCACCAGGGCCTTACCTTCAAGACCTAATAACCTTCCAAAGGCCCTATGTCCCGATACCATCATTTTGAGACCTGGAATTTGTTTTTGTTTGGTTGTTTTTTTGAGGGGGAATGGTGGGGGACAGGATCTCTGTATATCCCAGACTGACCTTGAACTTGAAGCCATCTGCCTGCCTCAGCCTCCCAAGCTCTGGGAGCATGTGCCACGGATCCTGGCTGGAAGTTGGATTTCCACATGAATTTTGGTGGGGAACACATATTCAGAGTACTGCAAATGGCTAGCACTTAGTGTATGCTTACCCTGTGCCAGCCTTGTCATGGCCCCGTGCAGCGGCACGCCTCACTGGGAGAGGGAGCAGCGTTACCTCAATAACTGGGTTGTTGTCAGGCTCAGATGAGATCATGAATGTGTGGGTGGTTTGCAAATTAAAAGGTTTATGCAAATATGAAGTAATTTGCTTCTCTTGGTTTTACTGTCAAAAAAAGAAAAAAAGTGGAAGGAAGGGAATACGTTGGAGGGGAGGGGATTGCTCCTGCTCCATGCCAAGATAGCTTTGCCTTAGAATTTGGAGTAGAGGAGTTAGATGAGGCAGGGCCACTAGACAGCTTAGCATGTAAGGCTGTGGATGTAGAGGTGAGTAGCAGAGCAGCTGCCTAACATGCACAAGGCTCTGGGTTCAGTTCCCAACACAGGACACACACACAGGCACACAGAAGTTTATTGTATCTGTAGATATAAAAGGTAACAGCTTTTCCTTTGTAGGAGTGGCGGGGGGACTTTGAATTGATCATGGAACTATCTGGGGAACGTGCTGAGGTGTCCTGCAGTTTCTGTCTTAGAGGGTGTAATGGTCTAAGTGCTGGAGTGTTTGCATGCAGAAATAGTTTGAGTTGGCACAAGGAATTGCTCACACTGTTGTTTCTTTCTTTATGGTGCCAGCCTCAGTATAAAAATATGCTTTGATCCAACTGAAGCTATTATTATTATATAACCAGTTAGTTGCCTTGTGAAAATAATTGAAATCAGTGGCACTAGCTCTTATGGAATCCTGGGTCCTAATCGAGGTTTGTGTGACAGTGTGTCTGTGGTCCTTCCCTTACCACCAGCCCCGCAAAGTGGAGTAGTCATTTGGGAGTAGCGAATGAATTAGTCTGTCACAAACTCACTCTGGGGATTTGTGACTTCATCCTAAGGCACAGGTGGCTGTGTGCTCTTGGTCCTTGAGAAGATAAGCAAAGGATGAGATGCAAAAGCAGATTTTGCCTCCATTTCTCACTGCTGTCTTTGGACGCTCAGGTTCTTTGCTGGTGATTTCCCCAGGTAGTTGACATGGCGGATCTGCTGGTGTGGAAGTACAGAGGTCTAAGTCCCATCATGTTGACTCTATTGTCAGTGCAGGATTTCTTTCTTTCTTCTTTCTTTTCTTTCCTCCCCTCTATGTTTTTTGAGACAGAGTCTGTCTCACTATGTAGTTCAGGCTGGCTTTGAACTAACCATTTAGATCAGGCTGGTTTTGAGCTCTTGCCTTATCCTCCTGATGGGTGGGATTAAAGGTGTGCACCACCATGACCATTTTTTTCTGTCTTTTTTTTTGTTGTTGTTAATATTGGGAATTAAACCCAGAACGTCATACAT